CCATTGCTAGGGCCAAGGGGTATTGTTAGGCAGGAGTGATGACAGAGGCAGGAGGTATCATTCAGATTGCAGACTTCATAGGCACAAAGCTCCCAGCAGGCTGCAGGATCTCATGTTATGGCCCTGCAAGCTGATAGGCCAGAGTCTGGAGCAGCCAATGACTCTACAATCTCTCTGCTACCACTTGCCAAGTTCAGAGCAAATTGCTAGTCTCCACATGTAGGCCCTCTGAGGCCCCCAATGTTTCTCTGTCACACAAGGGCTCTGGGGGTAAGGCAGAGCCACAGTAGCTATTGAAAGTTTGCTGCTCTGACCAAGCATTTCCTCTTCATTTTCAGAATGTTTGTCTTAACTTATTTTATATAATTAAGAAAGATCCGCTACTTGGCCTGGCAAGAGTAGGAGAGGCAAATTATAAGACAATACATCTCTCATTCCCACATTATGTAAATTTCAGCTTTAACTGATTTTTAGGTGATAGCCAAATGGGGTAGAGCTATGAGTGACTTTTTTTTTCTTTGACACTGCTTTTACTTTTAAGATTATCTTCCTAAGGCAAACATAGCTTTTATAATCATAGAAAGAGGAGTGGATATGTATATAGTGAAGATTCCCTCCATCCCAAAGACTTCCTGGATGAAAGTTCTGTATAGTCTGGGGGGCAGGGTGTACACCTATGGGTACTGCCATATGCTGGACTCTGAAGACAGCACAGGGCAAGCAGGGAGACCACAAAACTATCTCCAACTCTCATATTTCATGGTTGGCAACCAACCAGTGGATGATGTCTAGGCCAGAGTCTGAACCCAGGCCCTCAAGGCACCGGCAGCCTGCATTATTTAATTCTCTGAATCACTTTCTCTCTTTGCATCTCTCCCTAGCTGTCTCCCTCTTCACCTCACTTCCTCTAGATCTATCTCTGTCATACACACCCCAATCACACAGTACCTCCCTAACACTTCCTCTTACCTAGCTACCACATCCCCCATAGGACAAATACTTTTGGGAGAAGGGAAACTATCAGCATCCCCAGAAGTCTTCCATAGTCTCTCCTGTCCCAAGTAGCTCCAGGACTGATGATTCAATGGCATAGAGAAGGAAAACTAGTAACTTCCAGTCTCTGTCATGAGACTACAAGCAAATCAGGCAGGTAAGCAGCCAGGCACAGAAGCCATATTCCAGCCACCTGTTCCCTAACCCTCCAAGCCCAGGACATATGCTACCTATGACAATCGTGCAATCTGTGATACTCTTCATCTTCTCTGAACAACCCACAGGAGTATGGTGTATGAGAACAAGATGGGCCCTAGTTATTTCCTTACTCCCAGAGCCTGGTGGCTTTGGGGTCCTCTTCCTCTTTTCTGAGCCCACGTCCCAATCTATACATTGAGAGCATTAGCTTCTAGGATTGCTGCATCACACGTGAAGGAGGTGCAAAGGTCCTTGCTGCCTGGCAAAGGCTCACTATATGGTAGCTTGTCACAAGCCTTAGCACCAACTTTGTTCACCCCAACCACCTAGCCCAGGCCAGCCTGACTTAGCCCAGTCTGCTGAGGACCCTTCTGGGACTGTATACAATTACTACAATCTTTAAGCTGGTGATATTTTCAGTTTTTTTATCCTTAAAGTAATACACATTTTTTTCTTTATCTTCTTAACTCAATATGACTTTAAAACGTTTCTTTCTCATCCAAGTCAAAAATAAAGGATATTGCTCCAATCCTACCATTTTTAACACATCTAGTGTTTCCATGTTCCCTTCTAGGCATCTCATTGTTTTTGAATGAATTTAAAAAAATGTGACACCTCTTCCATCTCTAGTACAGCTGAAGTAAGAAACAGCCAAAAAGGCACTTACAGGACAAAACTGATGTCACAAGACTAGGCACTCACATTCAAGAACTTTACCATAAGTGATAATCTCAGGTTATCACTAAGTGCCTGATAACTGCTAGTTTGCACAAATTCTAATAATAACACTTGTCAAGCTTGTGCACTTTAGAAATAGCAAACTGGCAGCGGGGGTGGGAGGGTGGGGTACAGAGCTCCTTGGGCACTCTGCAGTAACATTGAGAAGTGACAAGTCACAGCCTATTAATGAAGAAGTAAAAAAAAGGACTTTTTCTTTAAAAGTTGCGTAAGTTATTAAAAACAACCAACAAAAACCAGAAACTGCGGCTGTGGCTATTGAACGCAACAACAAACATCCCTCTGCACCTCCCGGGTCTGCCCTGCAGGTACCCCAGAAGACAATAGTTGACCTATATGAACACAGGCTGGAGCAGCCAGAGCAGGTTATGTAGCAGTCTCTAGACAAGGAGGTGGAAAAACTATATATTTTAGGGAAACTTCCATCAGAAAAAGTGACATAATAATAATAATATAAATGCCAGCATTGATTTTTAATTACCCAGAAAAGTAAGCCACACAGAATGGCCTGTTCCCAAGGGTCTTGGGAGGGAAGGCTGTTATTATGAAAATTTTTTTCAAGCAAAAGCAACCCTTTAGGAAGTACTTTTGCTGAAGAACTTGGACTTCCCCCCTCCACTCAGAAGGGTGAAATGACCACAGGGTATGTCTGTCCTAGAGTGTCCTAGTCCAACCAGGCCTTCAGGACCCACATACATACTTGTCTCCCCTGTGGATTACCTACCTTCTTTCTCTACCTCTCACTTTTATTGTGCCCAGACTCATTGCTTGCCATGGTCCTTCAGCCTGACTCTCCATAAAGATCTCCCTCTGCCAGATGAGATCCTTCTCATCTGTGGCAGGCTTCTTCTGTCTGGCCTGACTTCTCTGCCTGGCTGGATTGTCATCTTTGTGTAGACAGCTTGTCAGCCTGTGTAGTGCTGATATTGTCTACTGGACTTTAGAGCCCAGGTCCACACACAGCAGACCCAGATTCTGCATACTCCAGCACACAGGTGCATGTAAGCTACAGGCACCTGCACAAATGGTGAAACTCTAAGAAAACGTAAACTCAATGTAAGCTCCTGGAAGGGGAAACAGGGAATGGCTGGGAAGGAATTCCTCTTGCCAAACAAGGGTTTATGGTCATCCTTTTCTCTGCAAACCCTCAATAAACAGAAGAGCTAAATTTGTCTCTGTCCTGGTATTCCCAAGAATGGGTGGAACTAGGTGGAAGGGAAGGGAACTCTGCCAACACTTCCCTCTGTGCCTGGTCTGACTGGCTTTTTCTTTATTCTTTGCTGGGGTACAGTAGAGACGCAGGATCACTTGCTCCTGTATCTTATTTCCAGCAGGGGTCTTTCCTCTGCTCAAAGATAGTCAAATAAAGAAATGATTGGCTCATCCATTCCAGCCCTAATTCATGACTGTAATTTTTTTTCCTGAAGACTGACTTATATTTCTTCTTCTGTCTTGTACAAAGGACAACCATATATCCCCTCTGATCTAAAGTAAAGTGGATTTTTCCAAACCAGAGAGGAAATGGAAGAAGATGGGGAACAGGGCTTCAGCAGGTATATTCCTGGCTCATATTCTGGAAGGAGAAATGCATAAATGATATAGACAAAACAGTGAAGGAGACGGTGGAGGGTAGACACAGAAGAGTGGCTGAGAAAGATAAGAAATAAAATTGGGGGGGGGCTGGGAAGGTGGCTCAGTGGTAGAGCGCTTGTCTTGCATGCCTGAGGCCCTGGGTTCGATTCCTCAGAACCACATAGCAAAAAGAAAAAAGCCGGAAGTGGCACTGTGGCTCAAGTGGTAGAGCGCTAGCCTTGAGCTGAAGAGCTGAGGGACAGCGCCCAGGCCCAGAGTTCAGGCCCCATGATCGGACCCCCCCAAAAAAAAAGAAAGAAAGAAAGAAAATTGGGGCTGGGAAGGTGGCTCAGTGATAGAGCGCTCGCCTTGCATGCTTGAGGTCCTGGGTTTGATTCCTCAGCACCACACAAGCAGGAAAAAAAAAAAGCCAGAGGTGGCACTGTGGCTCAAGTGGTAGAGCTGAAGAGCTGAGGGACAGCGCCCGGGCCCAGAGTTCAGGCCCCACAACTGGACCCAAAATAAATAAATAAATAAATTAATTAATTAAAGGAAAACTCCATTAAATAGTTCATCTGGGGGTTAGAGGCATGGCTCAGTTGGAAGAGCGTAAGCCAATGAGTAACAGTGTCAGGCACTAAGTTTGAGTTCTGATCTCAGACCATAAAGACGAAGAAAGAAAAGAAAAAGTCCATCTGGCTACTAAGGACCTATATGCTACTCATAGGTGTCCTGAAATTCTAACACTCATGTATCTGAGCATTCTAAGCCCCTCAGTGCTGCAACACCAAAGCAATCATCTGATGTCTTCCTGAACTGGGTACTCACTGGCAGATGTGTCCATTGCCATGGCAACCAGCTCTCCTGGCACCTGGATAATGGGTCTCACCAGCAATTCGACCCTCAAGTGATTTCTAAGAAAAACCCCTCCACATGGAAACCAGCAGCTCCATCTACCTCTACCTACCCAACCTTCTCCAGCTGCAGGGTGAGGCAGAGACCACAGTGGACCTGACTTGGCCTGGGGGAAAGAGGACTGAATCAGGGTCTCCTGAACTGAGACAACACAGGATCTTAGAAATGGATCCATTTTCTATGCTTTTACAAAGATTCACTCATTCTCTAGTCCAGAATCTAAACACATCTGCTCCAAATTGTATAGCACACAGAGCCACCACCACCAGGATAATCTTCTTCAAGTGCCATTTGTATCCAATCACTCCTCAGCTCAAGTGCCTAAAATAGTTTGATCCAGCTTATCAGATCAGATCTACATGTTATGGCATTTACAATCCCCATGCCCAGCACATGCTAACCTTAGCCCTAAGTCCTTCCATTCCAGACATGACCATCATTTTTCTGTGCCAGTTTTCTAGTCTCTGCCATGTTTTCTTTGCTCATGCGCTCCCTTCTATCCTTATACCCTTGCCTTTTGCTTCTCAGCTTTGGGAGACATTCACTTACTTCTGCAAACCATGCTACATGTAGTGTTTCACTACACTGCACCTACTGCAATGCTGCTCAGTAAAGCAACATCTGACCATCAACTGGTGAGTCCATATTTCAAGCTCATCAAGATGAGAACTTCATTCTTTGTTAGGCTCCAAGATGCCCCAGTTGGATTGGGAACTCTCAAATGGATTACCACATATAGCCTCAGCCTCACATTCGACTTTTTAGGAATAAGTTCCCCAGCTTTCCCACCACAATTTCCCATCTTGTATATTCAAGTGTCTCCCAATACCGTCAGATAATGGTCCCATCTGAAATTAACCTTATAGCTCGTTTTTCTTTTCTTTCCCCCTGTATGCCGCTTTGTTTCTTTGTTATGTTTTTAAAATGTGGTAAGAATATTATGTTCTTAAAATTGTGGTAAGAAACACTTAACACAAAACTACCCTTTTAACACATTTTTAAATAGCTAATATAGCATTGTTAACTATATGTACATTAGGCCACAGCCATCTTTTCATAGTTTATTTTATCTTGGTGTACACTTCTCTGATTGTCTCTGGGAGAAACTGATGTTGAAAATCAATTACTTTATTTAGACCTTTAGTGCCCTAAGGACAATCTGCAGACCCAGAAAAGCTTTAGAATAGCCAATTCCTAGCAGCACATGCTATTCACACTGCTCCTTCCTGTGCTATTTGCATGCACTGACTGTAGTGACTTCATGGAATATAGGTGGTCAGCATGAATGTCCCAAGTAATGGTTAAGATATCAAAGGTCAGGAGTTACAGGAGATGTACAGGTAGTGATGAAACCAGAATCCAAGCCCTGGACCCACCAAAGTGGCCACATGTGGAGCAGTGACATTCATCAGTAATGCAGTCTTTCTTTCCGCAGAAGGATTGACCATACAATAGAAAAGCCTGGGACAGATGATGAGAAGACAAGATATCTATAATAGAACCCTGTGGATTTCAGTATCATCTCTGCTTCCCAGCAACTGTGCCCGCTTTGGATCACTACTTCCAGATCCTTGGTTTCTTCACCTGTAATACAGAAGCTGGATGCTTCGCCAGGTCTGTGCCTGCTTACCCTGCTGGTGAGAAATGAACCAGCTGAATCCTTTTGTACATTAATTTAGCAATATGTGTTGAGAGCCTCAGAAATGTTCAAACTCTTTGACCCAATAATTCCACTTCTGAGAGTCCTACAAAAATAATCCTAAATAAGGAAAAAGCATTATGTGCAAAGACCTTCATCTCCGCACTATTTATAACACCAAAAAGTAAGAAATGAGCTACATCTGATAATAAATAGGAGGATGGTTAAACTACGACAGTGAATCCTCTTAATGAAATATTAGGTAGTTATATAAAAGAATACAAAATCAATACAGAATGTGATTTGACCATATGGAAAAAGCCAGATATCTGTTTAATTTAGTTTCATCTGAAAGATGAAAAAGCAGAATATTAAAAAGCTAATACACATGTAGGGCTGGGAATGTGGCTTAGTGACAGAGTGCTTGCCTAGCAAGCACAAAGCCCTGGATTCAATTCCACATAAACAGAAAAAGCCAGAAGTGGCTCTGTGGCTAACATGGTAGAGTGCTAGCCTTGAGCAAAAGAAGCTTAGGGACAGTGCCCAGGCCCTGAGTTCAAGTCCCAGAGCTGGTAAAAAAAAAGTTTTTTAAGCTAACACCATGTATAATTGTTGTCATGCACATATGTATATGTTCACAAAGGCTAGAAGGAAATTCATCATCATACTAATAATGACTACATAGTTCTAATCTTTTCTTTTCTTCTCAATTTCCAAATCTACTTATGTATATGCTTGTATTTCCAGACACTCAGGAGGCTGAGGTAAGGTGGATCACCTGAGCCCATAACATTGAAACCAGCCTGGGCAGCACAGTCAGACTCTACCTCAAAACAAAAGTGCATAAAGTTTGAATGGTCCCCAATTTGCCCAAAGAATTCTCTGGCTCTGGCAGGCCCAGGTGGTGGGTAAATGCTCCCCTGCTAAGTCCAGGCCCCTAGTTGGCTTTGCCAGAGAAATGCCAAGCAGCTATACTTCAATCCTTAGTTTCATGGAAAGCCCAGGAGACCAGGGCCAGAATAATTCATATCCAGATGAGGAGTGACTGTCCCTACTTAAAAAAGTAAGCCAGGCACTGGTGGCTCATACCTATAATCCCAGCTACTCAGGAGGCTGGAGGATTGTCGTTCAAAGACAGTAGGACAGAAAAAAATCTGAGACTCAGCTACAATTAACCGCCAAAAATCCAGAAGTGGAGCTATGGCTCAAGTGGTAGATTACCAGCCTTGCACAAAAAAGCTTAGGGACAGTACTGAGGTGGTCCTGAGTTGAAACCCCAGTACTAACACACACACACACACACACACACACATACACACACACACACACACACACACACACACACACAGAGGGGCTAAAGATCTTTTTTGTAGTTATTGGCTCTCAGAATGAAAACTCAGCACAATCCAATCACCCTACATCCTAGAGCAATTGATTCTTCAACTCATATCCCATTTAGTGCTGGGGTCAGATGAGCTGAGTAGAGAAACAAGAGTCAAGCACCTAATGATTTTGCCCATTTGTGTGTATGTAAGATTTTGTTAGGACAAAAGGTGGAAAGATCAAAGTAGCATGTCTTAAGGATAGGTAAGAGAAATGAGGGTCATCCTGAGGCCTGACCTCACACTGGTCAACAGTCATGGCAGTGTCAACTTGACCATTCAGCTCTTTTCAGCTATTTTTTGACCTCTGCTGTGACATATAGCTATTACCAAACGAATCCAGAGAACTTCTCCTGCCTGTAGAAACTCTGGAAGATCACATGGGGCTTATACCCCAGAATCCACAGCAATGAGAGGCTTTCCAGGTTTATGTTTCAGACAAGGTCTCACAGGCTGGAGCAGATGCAGAGGGAAAGCCACACAGACAGCAGTGGGACATGGCAGGACTGCTCACCAGCTCCTCCATGGCCAGGACCAGAAGCCCCTGAGCACTTCAAGGTAGCACAGTTGAGACACATAAAGGGGAGTGAATTCTACCCAGTGGACAGAGAAGGCCACAGCCTCTCTTTCCAACAGCTAAGATGGGCTGAGGATGACAAGCTGAGGGAAGATTCAGATAAAGTAAAGAAGGCAGAAGCATGCAGTTATCAAGGGACATGAGGGATGCCTGGACCACAAGCAGGACCATTTAAGGTTGATGGCAAAGAAGACAGCCCTCCACTCTAAACACTCCACTTGGGCCTGGCCCAGAGGCTGAATGCCGGGCTACAGAGCATGGCTCTCACCCAGAGTAACTATTCTTGGGACCAAATCTGGCTATCTGACAGCGCTGGTCTGTGTTGTGCCTGGTGGCAGTATGTTGACAATGCTGGCAGGCTCAGGGGACCCTGAAATACAAGCAACCTCTTTGTCCAAGGAAGAGCAGCTCACAACACCAAGGTTGGGAAAAGTACTTAAAGGGACCTGTAGTTATGTCTGTAACTTTTTTTTTGCCAGTCCTGGGGCTTGAACTCAGGGCCTGGGTGCTGTCCCTGAACTTCTTTGTGCTCAAGACTAGCCTTCTACTACTTGAGCCACAGTGCCACTTCGGCTGTTTTCTGACTAGTTTATTGGAGGTAAGAGTCTCATAAACTTTCCTGTCCAGGCTGGCTCTGAACCATGATCCTCAGATCTCAGCCTCCTGAGTACCTAGGATTATAGGCATGAGCCACAGATACCTATCTGTACCTATCTGTACAACTTTTTATTGGGAGTAAGAAGATGTATTTATGTTACATTTATTATATAACTTAAGATGGCATTAATAAAAGAAGGAAACCATTCAGGCATTCCTCAATACTGATGTGAACGTCAACAAAATCAAGATTTCTTTCCCAGCACCTTCCATGGGCCCATCCACATCTGCCAAAGTCTGGAGGGGCACTAAGAACATTGATCTAGACAGACCTAGGTCTGTAGATGGCCTGTGCCACTAGGCTTGTATCCTTGTTAGTGGGATGAGACTGCAACACTACTAGCTAGCAGGATTACTGTGCAATTATTCTACAGCGAGGGACTGGTAGCCTCCGAAGGACACCACTTTTCTTGTCTTTCCAACACACACATGCCACTGCCTGGTAAACTAACCAACTCTATCACGTATATGCTCCTAGAGGGTCACAGCTGTCTCTGAAATGAGTGGATCCTGAGTCAAACTTTCCCAGTCTTCTGGGCCTCTCCTTGTACAGCTACTTTGAACAGACCTGAGTCCCTCTTCCCTGTCACTCTTAGGTCCCTTTGGCTTTCAATCCCATCCATTTTTGGAAGTCTATGATCTTTCAGGCTTCCACTGATATCTCCAACCTGGGAGTTCTCTCTATACCCTTCCTTACGAGCTTCCTGATAAGTATTCTTCCCATCTTTAGCAAACACTTTGTTTGCTTAGTGGGCAAGAATGGAATAACACCTGTTTCTCTTCCTTCAAAGTACTTGAAATCCACAGAAAAACACAGAAACCTGCCCACCAGGAAATGCTAAAAAAAGTTGAGTAGTCAATCTCATGAAGCTGTACAGATACAGTCAACCAGCACCATGTGAGAGTTACATACACCACACTCAAAAGACACCACGGGGGTAGGGGAGGCGTGGGCAGTTTGCAAGGGAACTTTTCAGTGCAGACTAAAGGGCTGATTACGGAGCACTCCAAGTGCTTAAGAATGCAAGACCAAAAGAGGCATAGTTTCCATATCCCATGGGTTCCTGACCCTGCACAAACACAGCCCCTGCCAAACAGAGGGTGCCCTGGTGTGAACATCTCTTGAGCCAATGGCCAGTTCAGAACATCAAGCAGAGCCCTCCTGGTACCTTCAGCCCCATCTTCAACTCCTCACTCTGTACTTCCTACTCCGTGGGGGACAGCAGCCAAGGGCTAGAGGTGGGCAGTTAGCCCAAGTTCCCTGCCTGTGTCTGGGGCCTGGTTCCTAACCTGGGCCCTCTTTCCAGCTGTGTTCTGGAGAGAAGAATGTGCACTATGCCCAGAACAAAC